TATTTAATTAAATATAAATATTTAGTGTGGTAGTACCATTAGTATAAAAAGTAGGCCTAAGTTTCGTTGACAGTCAACAGCAAAGAAGAGCCACATAAGTACTATATTTCTTGTTTTTCATGTATATTCTTTATTTATTATTATAAAAGTAACTAAAATGTAAAAGTAGAAGCTTATTAGTTTAGCTTAGATAAGATAAAGAATAATAATAGTAAAAAATTATTTATGAGGTATGCTCGCGTGTAGCTCGTGCATTACATAATTCGATAGGATAATGTGAACTACATGTTTGCCAAGTAATTTGCAACTTGTGTAACAGGGTTATTAGTTAGACACAGTTCAAAAGACAATAAAATTAAGTATAAATAGATGTATACTGTTACAAGCTTTAAGCTATTTAGGATAAACAATTGTGGTTTCCTGTTACAATTTGCAGTCATTCCAGAAAGAAAAAAAGGGTAATTTAGAATTATTTCCCAATTGTTTTATAAAGGTTATGAGGTTGGTCAAATCAACAGACCCTGTATAGAGTTATAGTATAGGAAATACAGATAAAATATAAAGTTTTCTGAAAAATAATTTATAATTATTTAGGAGGTTTTATGTATTAAGCAAATAAAGTTTGAAAGTTTTTAGATGAAGAAAAGTGTTTTTAATCTTAACATGAAAATCACTTTGCACTCAGAACAGTCACCACTCTGACACCATATAAATTCAGAAAAAAATTATGAATTTTTGTCTACAAAAGATTTTTAATATTTACTGAAAGCTTGTCAAGTTTTGTGAAGATACAGTAAGTACTTTCAGAGTCATAGTATGTATACCACCATGGGTACAAGGTTGTGTAAAATACACAAGCCTGTTCTTTTTAGGGTTAAAACACTGTCATTTCTTACATCAGTAAACAATGAGGTACTTGATCTCTGGGCCACCATAACATTATTAACAGACTTCATCAATACAACAACCATTACTTTAATAATTTATGCCATGTCCCAGGAGCTTTGAACTTAGTGGCAGATCTGCTGTATTGCCCACCCTTCAAATATAGTGATCATTCCCTCAACACCAAGTTTCAAATCCTTTGGTCACTAGTCCTAAAGTCTGCAGCAATAGGAATAGACACTTTAAGTCAGGATATGTCCACCCTCATTGTGTGTAGTTATTATCTTTGACTCCTTCCTAAGGTGCTGTTTCTAATTCACAGAACCCTTTGCCTTGTTCTTCTCATTGCTTGCCCATTGGCCGACTCACTTATGGTTTCTGCTCCTTCAGCTGTTTCTGATCCAGGAGCCTTTACTTCTTCCATGCTGGAGGTCACTCTTACATCAGCAAAGGATGTCCATCTTCCACCATGATGTAGCATGCCTTTATTGTCATGCAAGACTTGTTTGGTCTCTTGAAAAGCCAGATAGAAAAAGAAGCGAGATGAGGAAAAGTTGGATGATCTGAAGGATGGAAGTGGCTGATAGGTCAGTATCAATAATCCATCAACTTGCTCTGATAAACTAAAGGCAAGAGTGATAACAAAAACAAAACAGGTTACTGTGTAAGAAAATCCTGCCCATTTTCAAAAAGGCGCCTGGTGATCAATGAAATCATGATAGGTGCGGGGCAGCATTTTTTATTACTTTCCGCCTTTTCCCTGACTGTTCTTCTTTTCTTTTTCTAGTACTTATGACCTTGCTAATCAGTTGTCCTCCTTGTCTGCTTCCCTTTCCAGATTGGAAAAGTCTGTTGTAGTTTACAGACCACTCACAAATCCTCAGTTCACACTTTTGTCCATCTGTTCCTTGTATCATCTTTCCATTAAAATGTATTTTCTTAGTCCAACTTGTGGGAGATGTTGCCTTGGATGCCTCCAACACTCTTTATCACAGGGACAGGTTGAACCTATTTTGAGACTGCTTTTTCTTTCCCAAGACTTAGATAGCCCAAAAGGATAAAATATTTTCTACAATCACTCTCCCTTTCATTTCCTATCTGTGCAATTGTTCAGACCCCAAGTGACTCCTTTCTCCTCTGCAAGCAGTATGATGTTACCTCTCTCACACAACTCTCATTATAGGCAATCAAAATAATTTTTCTTGCTGGGTGATCCCTCTTATTCTGAAGGTTTATCTCCTTACACTTTTACCAGATGGGTTAAGCAGCTCATCTGATTTGTCTATTTCTCCATGGCAAATGATGCTTTTTAATGTCACCTCCCATCAAATGTATCATCGTACAGCTTGTCTTGCCTCAGGCCATCAATGTCTCCTGGATGAAATCTTGCAAATGGGGATGTGGACGACTCCACATACTTTTGTGTCAAATTTCTTACATCACATTGCAGTTTTCAATCCTTCCAATCTCTATTTTTCAGTCTTCCCAAAGGCTCCAAGAAGATGGGTTGTTAACAATGTATTTTCACTACAGCTTCAATTTTTACCCCTTAGGAGAGGAGGGTGGAGAGAAAGGAACTCACTGAGGGGGCTGGTGTAGTGTCACAGAGAATATTTCAAAATCATTATGAAGGAGATTAACAGAAGGTGTTAAGTCCATCTGTAACTACTCAGTGCTTAATGTTGAAATAGGCTTTTCCACAAGACTGCTTCTGCAGTGTATATTTTTTATTACTTTAAGTCATCCAAAAAAAAGGAACAGTATCTAAACAACCACACTGTAAGACAGCTCCTACTTGCCCTATTGTCATTAAACATTTTCTCAGGGATGGACATTATGAAGATGAAATTATTCATGTTTGGTTCACACACCTCTCTGGTGTTCTCACCTCTGCAAATCCCTCCTTCTAAGTTTGTTGTAGTGGAGCAGGAGAACCCTTGCTTTCTCAGTACCAAACTGCTGAGTTCATCAATATAGAAAGTTCCTTTCGTATTGATGTAATCCCACTGGTATGAGAATTAATATACATACCCTCCTATTGGTTGATGGCATAGTCTAGTGTGAGAACTCTTTCATTGGTTTGGCACAAATGCAAAAAACTTTTTGGCACTAACTCATTTTTCCATGGGGAGGTGAGTATCTTTCTGAAAACCTTTTCGGATAAGAAAAAAGTTAACTTTTCTAAAGAAAAAGTTTATTACTGAAGCTATTCCTTTCGAGATAATTGAAACTGCACATAACAAAGAAAGGAGTGATTCATCAACATCTTACTGTACTCCTCTTTTTATTTGTGCTACTGACATTAGTGGCATAGGTCTTGATCATGAATTCATTTCAGTGTGACTTCATAGTCAATAATAAACATCAAAATTATTTGGTTAAGTAACACTATAATCATTTTATTGATCCTTGTAATTAAATAAGCATTTTTCAAGTTTTTTGCTAGCTACTGGATGTTCACTTTACTGTGCTACTGTTATACTTGGTGTTTTCCTATAATATAGTCGTCAGTTTTACTTTAAGTCTTAGTATTCTATGGAAGATAATTTTACTAGATTTCTCTTGTATCCAGGAAAAGAAAGTTGCTGAAACCCGACAGAAAGCAGAAGAGGAAGAGAAACAAAGGTTTTTGTCTCTGAGTGACAGGGAAAAAGTAAGTGATTATTTGCATATATAAACATTCTATATTTTTTTTGAGTGATAATGATTCAGTTAATAAGCTGCCAGAAATATTTCCCCCATTAGATTGTAAATTTGCACATGATTAATTTGTAATTGTTTGTATAACACATGTTAGTATAAATTAATATTTCAGTGACGCATTGAAATGTTATTGTTTTGTAAAATTGCACTTGGATATAAAATATTTTGTCTTACAACATGATCTACTGGTGAAAATGATCGCTGGCTGTTATCTGTGAACTACGATCTCAAAACAAAAACTAGTGACTATTGGAGTTTAAGTTAATCATTCAAATCAGATACCAAGAATGAATATGTACGCTGAAATATATGTTTAGTAAAGTTCTATTAACATTTTTCCACTTTCGTTGAGCAAGTATTTTAATAGCTCTGGGCCAATAAAACCAAATCCCTTTGGCTCTTTACCTTAAACACCAGTTATGGCTTGCGAAGGAAAATATGTAAAAAAAATATTAGTGCTAAAATTTAACCTACTCAGTAAATCTAACTTTTAGTAATCTTAACATTTCTCTCCAGCAGTCTAGATAGATCATAGAAAAATGTTAAGAATAAAAGCCAAATATAAAAAGAAAAAATATGTACTTTATAATGCTATATACAAAAATTTCCTTAGCTTCATGGTGTAATATTACTAACATGCATGGCCATCTAATCAGCCTTCACCTCTACAAAATATAATTTAAGAAAAACTAAAAAAAAATGATTATTTTGTATAGACCATACACCAACTACAACATGAAGCTGAAATATTTGTATAAGTGAACAAGCTTAAAGTCATTGATGCATCAGTTGTAGAAAAATTACTAATATCCCAGCTTACCAGGAATTAAAAATCAAAGTACTTGTGCATTATCAAGGTGTTTTCCAAAACGTACTTACCTCCGTTGACACTACAGCTATTTCTCGATCTCCAGGGTTTCCACTCTTTTCCCATCTAAGCATTGAAAATGCTTGCTCCAGTCTTTTATACCCACTCTAATGCCCTTGGCAAATTCTAATTTACAAATTTCACCACCAACTTCAATGCGCCCTCTATCTAGTACTGTATATAAGCACCTCATTCAGTTGATGTAATCACTTTTTCTCGACAAAGCATTCTGCACGTGTTTCTGTAAACAGGAGTGTTGTGATTATTCACAATTTAAGTTGCAACTTTGAACGTGGTTTGCATTACTATGGTTATATCTTCGTATATTTATAAATTACTTTAATAATAATAATAATTTTTAAAAAATGTACTGATGGGTATGACTTCCCAAGTTAATGTTTCTACTATGGAAGCCAACCAGACCTCTCCTCTTCTACCTCTGTTATCTGGTATTTGTCAATGACCAGGGGAGGGGTCACTTTCAGTTGAGGCTGTCTGTGATATGATCCATTGTGAGATGGACACATGTGTGGACCGAGGTTAGTCGTTCGGGGGGGGGGGCAAGGTGGCTTTTGCAAATGACCCGGACTAGGTGGGGAGAACTTAGCAAGTAACTACTTGGTTTTTTCTCTTTCTCCTGATATTGCTGGGAGATTTGCAACTCAGTTATGCGACGGGATAGCTATGACTGGTCTCCTGCATTTATCAGAACAGCATGTTTTGGCTTATCACCACCAGGAGTAAGTATATTTAGATTCTCAATAAATGGAACCCCTTTTGTGGGGGGTCTCGATTGGAGCCTGTGATCACTTTAAACAGATCACAAATTTCTTGGATTCATCTTACTCTCACGACTGTCCTGAGGTATTTATCTTCGATCCAACTTTTGTTGTAAGGCTACCAATGTTCCCTTCTGCAATTTGAGGATGAGTCGGGGATTTTGCTGACAACTACTTGTCATCTTCATTTCTTTCTCTGGTTTCCTGACTGGTTTGTTGTTGAGATTTATTGGGTAGAAATTCTTTGTTAAAAAGTGTTTGTTTACCATCTTCTGCTCTCGAAGAGTTATGGGAAGCTCCTTTTCTTTATCCCAGGTTATTTGCTGGAGTTCCTGAGATGTTAGAATCAAGATTTCATTCAGTTTGTTTACATTCTTCTTTATCATCGTTGACTTTTCGCCTTTATGGTGCTAATTTGGGAGTGTCAGCTCTTGGTTTTTCCTGACCCCCTCCTTTGGTTCCCAGGTTTATTGATTCCTATAATAGTCAGTCCGTATTCTTAAGGATTTTCGGCTCGGATGGACTGCCAACAACAGTGTCGGTGTCTATCCTGTAGGTGGGGAACAGTGGGACCACGTTTACACCACTTTCTGGTCATATGGAGTTCTTTCACTAGGGATCCATGGGTATTCCATGATCTGAATTCAGGGTTGGTCATTCAATTTACATCACCTCCACCTTTATCTGCACAACCTGTTGTCTTATCACCCCAACATATTCACAATAATTGGAGCTTCGTTCCCAGGCTATAAGAGAGTTGTTAGTCAAAAGGGCAGTAGTAGAGGGTTGATCCAGTTCTTCTGCAATTTTATTCCCATTTAATTGTTGTACTCAAGAAGATTGGAGATTGACATGTAACCATCTATCTGTCTTGACTTAACCAATTTTTGATCCTCCATGATTTACTCTGGAATCCTTTCTCAACCTATGATGGCACTTTGTTCCAGGGCTTTGTATGACTAAATTCGATTTTACCGATGCTTATCTCCATATTCCCATTGTGGAATCTTCCTGGAAGTTTCTCAGAGTTGTGCACAAGGGTCAGGTTCTGCAGTTCAGGGCTCTGCCTTTTGGTCTTCCATCAGCACCTTATGTCTTCTGCACAGTGTTCGGGTTTTTTCTCGTCATTTACATTCCTTGGATCTGTACACACACAATTATATGGACGATTGGATTCTTCTGGCAACCTTCCGTCAAATAGCAGAACAACATTTTCAGATTCTCCTTTCAGAAGCCACAAAAGTGGACTTCCTTATCAGATTGGAGAAATCTATGCTGTCACCATTGCAATATCATGTCCTTCTGGGTGTGTTTTTCAATAACCTTAAGTCGTGCTCAACCAACCCCTTTCAAGCTTCAAACCGTGGAATAAGCCATCAGGTTTTTATTTGTGTCCCCTTCTCCTACTGCTTGGATGATTCTCTCTATTGGAGATGTGGGCATTCCTCAAGCCTCATTTTTTTGGGACGAGCTCATATGAGGTCTCTTCGGTGATCACTGCACGATCAATGAATCATGCTTTCCGATCCTTTGGATCATCCTGTCTCATTACTCAGGAGCAACATTGTCAATTGTGAATGGTGGTTGGATCGGAACAACACTACTATTGGAGTACCCATTCCACCACCTCGTCCAAAGATCCATCTGTTCACAGATGCATCTCTTCAGGAATGGAGAACTTATCTTCAAGGTCAGGAGTTCCAGGGTATTTGGATGGAAGTTGAGTCTACCCTCCATATCAATATTCTTGAACTTCTTGCAGTACATGGGGCAAGGGTTCAAGGTCTGTCTCTCTTGAAGGGAAAAAATGTCATGTTACATTCCAACAATTCCATGGGGGTTTATCAGATTTCTCGTCAAGGAGGCACACATTCTTGAGACCTTGTTTTCATACCTTAGATCTTCTCTACTGGGCTCATTCCACAATGTTTTTCAGTGGATTTACTCTCAGCAGATGTGTTCAGTCAGGACTGGACATGTTTACATCTGTATGTCTTTCCCCTGATTTGGCTATTGCCCTGGTTTCTGATTATGGTTTGCTCCACCACTTATTGAGTTATCTTGGTTGCACCATAATGACCAGTTCAAACGTGGTTTCTGTTTCTTCAGTGTGTCTTCCTTTTCCACATTGGCAGTCTGAGACAACTTCAGTGAGACATTCTCCACCCAGGCGTTCAGAAACTCATTTTTTATGCTGTAAGTTATGCGGTCCTTTGCCCAACGTAAGGGTTTAACTTCTACAGTTTCTTTGTATTTAACTAAATCTCTCCTTAGGCCAACCACAACCATTTATCAATAGAAATGGAATACTTATCATTAGTGATGTCTTAAAAGGAATTTCAACCCTCTTCATCCTAAAGTATCTACCATATCCCATTTTATGACTTGAGTATTTGAGAGGGGTCTTGCTTCACTTACTGTTGCTTTATATAAGGCATTCTTATCCACCATTTTCGATATATCAAATATTGGAAGTTTTTTTTTGTAATCCTCAGTACTATCAGGTCTACTCAAACCCCTTCGTATTCTTTGACCCAAATGACCTTTACACTTACCAAATTAGAATTTTACAGTTGTTTTACTTGCATTGTCCCATCCTCCTTTTGAGACCTTTGACTCATGTTCTTTGTTTCACTTTTCTCTTTAATTGTATTTTTGTTGTTATTTGGCTTGTAAACTTCATAGGTTGGGGTTGTTTGCAATTCATGTGCTTTAGACTTTTTCTCATTCCACATTGGTCCTACTTTACCCCAATAGGGCCTATCTGTCCAAGACTCTGATAGCTGGGGAAGGTGAAAGATCCTTATCACCAACCCATTTGCCAGCCATTTCTCACCTTTATGACCACTCCAATCCTGACTGTTTGTTATGTCCTGTTAGAGCCCTCATGTGTTATGTAGCTCATACTAACACAATTCAAGGTGGTAGGAATTGATTGTTCATTCATTGGATTTATTCTTTTTCCCTTTACTTATCTTCCACTACCCTAACGAGGTGGCTTCATAAATTGATTCACATGACCTATAATGAATTATCCATACAGAAGAGGAATCTTTTACGTGTCACTTCTCACCAGATTTGTCATGTCTCTGTCAATGGCCGCCCAATTGAATTGATCTCTGGAGGACATTTTGTGGTCTGGTATGTGGATTACTCATAATACTTTCCTATCTCATTTCTTACATGATCTGGCAGTTGCCTCTTCTAAGGATTTTTTACTGACCCCTGTAGCTAATTTGACCACATTTGTTAGATTTTCACCAGAGGTATTTTCCTCAATCATATACCCTTTTTTTTTCAAAAGTCCATTTAATTTTTCACTGGATCCCACTCTGTGGCAAGTGTTGCCCAGGCAGGTATGCTTTCTCTTTTCCATTCCACACTAGCAACCATTTTCACTGTAATTACTACATGTTGCAACAGGTTCTGTCGAAATGGGTGTTCCATAAGACCATCTAGGTGCCGCATGGTATCTTATTATAATGGACTGCCACTCGTGGACTATCATAGGTAAAGCTAAAGGGGATCCTGCTTGTCCCTGCCAATCTTCAGGTTGAATAAATTGGGTCGGTTTGCTTTTAAAAATGTAGGGAACTTTGGTCCCTGTTTGTTTTTCTCAGATGTCAGTAGAAGTGGCACCAGCCTCCGCGGGAGTCTACTCGTAATTCTGGTTCAAATTTGACACAAAGCTATCTGGTTCGGGGGTGCATGGCCCTTCTCTTTGATCAATGTCGGTTTCGTATATATTGTTCATGCAAGGAGGTCCACTATCCCTTCATAATTCCAAATGCGATGTGGTCTTATCCTAGGTCCTTGGTTGAGCACATGTTCCATGTCCTCTCTATAATTCCAGCGACAAGCGGAATACTCCTTGCCCACTTGGATGGGGTGTGATGATGAATGTTCATAATTCCAGACTGGATAAGTTCTGTTCTTTTGGTTGAGTATAGTATATGCAGTCCTGTCATTCTGAGCCTGGGGTGTTGTCTTTTGGACTTCTTCTGGTGGAGGAGAAAGTTTGTCCACTTTGGTGTTGTGATTCCAGTGGTACAAAACACATCACTCTATGGCTACAGGTTGGGATCCAATCAAAAGTTTATATAACATTGCAGTTCAATAGCCCTAGCCACCAACATTGGATATAGGTACCACAACCACTTAATACCAACCCCGAATTGTGGAACCTTGGCTATCTGGTTGGGACTGGCCTATACTGATGATTACACGTATTCTATTCCACCTTTGATATAGGAACTGAGTTGCTGGTGAAGAGCATACATGTTCTGGATGTAATGCAGTTCCCCCACTCTTGTACTATCTTTATCTTGGTACACTTCTTTTCTATACAAATGCTTTCTGTATGGTTCATGCCTACACTGGCCCCTCCAGCTTCTCAATGTGGAATTATAGCTATAGTGTCAGCGGATGTAAGTATGTTTTGGAAGTTAACATTTTCTTAAACTGAAAATGTATTTCCAATAATACTTACTTCCGCTGACACTCTCCTGCCCTACCTCCCCACTAAAAGCTGGTTTATGTCTAAAAAAAGTGATTACATTATCTGAATGAGGTGCTTATATACAGTACCTAGATAGAGGGCGCATTGAAGTTGGTGGAGAAATTTGCAAATTAGAATTTGCCAAGGGCATTAGAATAGAGTATAAAACTGGAGCAAGCATTTTCAATGCTTAGATGGGAAAAGAGTGAAAACTCTAGAGATCGAGAAATAGCTATAGTGTCAGTGGAGGTAAGTATTATTGGAAATGCATTTCCAGTTTAGGAAAATATTAACTTTTGGAAGTAAGTATATTAGAAACAAATGCATTTATAATGAAACTTCGTTGAATAGATGGCAACTGCCTGTTGTAAAAACACAAATGTAGAGGACAACGTTTTGAAAGTATCTTTCCTTTCGTCTTCTGGTCCTGTGTCTTAAAGTGGCTGTTTTGAGGGTATTCCTTCAATGTTTTCCTTATAGGGGTTACTGAGTACTGGTGATAAGGGTAACCTCATAGGTCTTGTTGTTGTTGGTATTAGTTATCTTAATATGTGAAAAGATGGGTGTCATAGGCTTTCTAGTCACTGGAATGGACAAGATTATTAATACAGAAGAAGGAAGAAAAACATATAACTATAACAATACTTGAAAATGAATGCTCTGAACACTAAAGAAGATAAGGACAAAAAATAAGCAGGAAGAAAACTTGCAACAATATTCCCTATGTCAAAGACATACAGAGGACGTGCAAGCAACATAAATTCAGAACAATATTTAGAAACCACAACATAATATGCCAACAGTTAGTACATGCTAAACCACCTAAAGACGTAATGAAAAGCAAAAAATACAGTTGTGATTGAGAACTCCAGTGCATTATAGAAACAAAGACCAACAAAAAAAATCAGAATTCAGTAGCATAATTGTCATATTAGAGTATGGTACAGCCTATACATCAGAAAAACATACTGTACAATAAAGTGGAATAACATAAAAAAATAATGGGATATGAGCCACACATTAGAAAATAAAGAAAATAATCTTGATACAACCATCTAAGAGATAAAATAGTCAAAATAGCCTACAATACAGCCAATCATTCAGATAATTCATTCAGGTCCTAGTGTGGAAAACCCAAGTTAAGTGGATAACACACTATTTTTTTCAATAACAAGACCTAGTAGCAAATTCCAGTCCTTACCTCCATAAACAGTCTCTTTCAAGCCTTACTTCCGTATACTTGTCATTAAAGGTGACTGTATGATAGAGATTTTAAACACTATAATGTTTTCAAACAGATCAATTCATTAAATATACAAAACTGAAAATTCGTTTTTAAAGAAAAATGTTTCTTAGTCTCTATTATTATATGTAGATGCTTGAATATATATATCTTGCCTGTTTCACAAAAGCCTTTCAAAGACTGAAAAGGTTTGTACTTTCAGTGTCATTAGTAAAGTACATCTACTGAAGCTGATGTTATGTATATTGTATATTGAAGACATAATATTTTTATTCATATGAAATACAAATACCTCATACTAACTTGTCTCTTCTTTAGCGGGCTATTGCTGCAGAAAAGAGAATCAGTGAGCATCTTGCCAGTGTCGGTCAACCTCCACCAGCGTTCAGGTGAGAACACTGGACAAATTATTTCATTACTAGGTTACTTATTGTAACCATGGTAATATTCTAATTGGCATCAAATAATTTATACATAGTTACAAGAGATTCTAAAATCCTATCGTACATTTACTTCTGATAATCTTATAAGTGTATTGATTTTCAATATTATCAGCATTCATGTTCTCTAAACATTTATGTTCAGTGATCTTGGAAATCACTTTAGAAGTACACAAAATAATCAGTCCATACCTCCAACAACATAATTTAATAAATCTAAAAGTTAATTACAAAGAAGTCAAGTGTGAAATTTTGAATAATATTGATAGATAAGGTATGCTAGTTTTGCAGTTACATTGAGTCTGTTTTTAAATGATCCATCAAAAATATTAGTATTTTTTGGAAATACTAAAACTTGCATCACACAAGAACAGAGATATCCTGATAATAAACTTTAACCTGGAGAAGATTTCAGGAAAATTACATGAACATGCAGAGTTTATAAGATCTCTGAGTCTAGAACTTGTCAACAGCATTGATGAGGATGATATTATTATCTATATGGATGGCTCCCTCCTAGAAGATGGAGGTTCTGGAAGTGGAATCTATTAGACATCTTCAGAACAATCACTAGAAATATCACATATCAACCCAATTTTTATTCCCATTTTCGAGGCTGAACTCATTGCTATCAATGAGGCCATCTCCCTCTTAGCTAAAACTTGTTCTGTAAGATGTACAATATTTACAGTTTCACAAGCTACAATCAAAGCAATAGAAAAATGTTTCTCCAGTGATTTAGAAATTCTCATTAATATTACAAGAAATTTCAACAAATTACATCAGTCTACTGAAATTGGGACTCTTTTGGATTCCTTCACATGTGGAAATCTCAGGAAATGTGAAAGCTGATATCCTGGCAAAGAAAGCAGCTACAATTCATGATCCTAGAAATAAAAACCAAATGCATCATATGCATTAACTGCAAACACTAAATAGGAAACTGACAAAGAAATGATATAAGAAAATAAATCACAGATGGTACTCGGGAAGTAAACCTGTTGCCACAGTCACAAACAGTTTAAATAGTCAAGATACAACCCTCATTGCAAGACTTAAATTTAGACACCTTAGGCACACAAAGTTTCAAAATGGAATAAAAATTCACCCTACCTATACAAAATGGAATAGAGAGAAAGCAAATGCTAACCATATACTAATGCATTTAAATACTATCAGTTCCTTTCCTCAGAATAAAATATCCATTAGGCAGGAATTCATCATCCAGCAAAACACTAGTATTTTGTTAAAATGTATTCTCTTTTCTTTTGTATTTTCTGTAATAATGTATTCTAATTAATGGTAACCATCTAGTTGCAGTTACTAATTATTTGTGTCTTCTTTATGTGTATCACCCATACATTCCATAATTGTTTTTTGTACTATGTATTAAAATGTTCAAAAAGAATATAATTTTTCTCTTTGAAATTAAGAACAATTCAGATGTTCTGAAGTAGTGAATCAATATGATATAAGAACTGTATATAAAAAAAATACCAAGTGTTTTTAATCTGTAATATTTGACAGTATGATAACAATTTTTTCAGATAAAATATAATCATGATGTGCCTGCAAAGTACCTTACAAACATGAGCAACAAGAGTGTAGATACTTAGTTTCTATGTAATAAATGAATGTTGTTGTTTTCTACAAGAAACTCAAGTTAGAAGTTCACGTGGTTTGGTTAGTTTTACATGTATTATTTATGTATGCTATGAAGATGTACACATAAGTACCTTAATGATATTTGTTAACCTAATATTTTCTATCTAAAACCTTTGTTTTATAGCCGGTGTTTCCAGTGTGGGGTTGACATTTCTGGAAAGGTACCTTTTGAATACAACAATTGTCTGTTCTGTTCAACAAGTTGTGTGAAGACACACAGGAAGAAGTGTTCCAGCTAACACTAGCTTACTAGGGATTTACACATATAAAATTCAACCTTTTTCTTCTAAACTTGCATTATATCAAGTATTCTTTAACTTGTTGTAACAATGGGTAATAGTTTTAAAAATGATTTTACATCTACAAGAGGTATTTTTAATTTTCCTGTAAAACAGTTAAGCATATTTGTTCTTTTTAGAGATTTCATGGGTGTTATTCACTACAGTGTACACATATCTACTGAATATTTAAGTTTTTTTTTTTTTTTAATCAAAACAAAATTTAGATTATTCAGATAATGTTTCTGTTTAAGATATATTTTTTTGACCTACAAATAATTAATCAACTCTTTACTAAAACTTAAAAAGTTTGTAGTGTGTATTTTTGAGTGAAATATTATCTACAGAAACACAGTACAGCTACACCACAACAGTATCAAAACTAAGATGTTTTATTGGATCTTGTGTGCCAAAATTGTGGAAAGATATTAAACATTCAATACACTAATGCAAATCTTCTACATACATCATGAAGAATTGTCCCAGTGTTTAATATGTACCATTTCACCAAGCAGGTTTTCCTTAAACCATCTCTATTTGAGTACTTGGACGATATTCAGCTATTAATTATGGCTTTTAAATACAAACAAAAACACTTATGTAAACTTGCAGATTTGAATTGCATACATTAATATATATAACTTTTCTGCATGGTTTTTAATGCATTAATTATGTTTCAGTTTTCTCAATTTATTGATTTTAATTTCATAGTAACTTTCTGAACAATTTTCAAAGAGTGTAAATCTTAGAAGCTTGTCTATATTTTTTGTGAAGCAGTTCTCATGTAATTAACACTACATCCTCGTGATCAGTTACCAAGGAAAGTCATACATGATTTTTTAAGGCCTGTTTATATTTAAATACTTTTGTTCAGTTTACTCCTATCAATTTTGAGAATTCATGCCATTATAACAAATGATCTGCTGTGTCTTTTCTTATCTGGCTAAAAACACAGTTTTTTACCAAATGTACCATTTTTGAAGTCGATTCTTAGTATTTTTTAATTGTTCACATTAATATATATTTGTTAAAGAACATTAAGTACCATGTTTTAGAGCTTTACCTTTATTTCTGCTTTGCTTACAAATGTAACTTGTATTTCCTCAGTGTAACACAGTTGGTAATATTTTTCTTTCTTAATGAACCTTTGTTTATTTCTCATTGGGTTGCAATGCATTTCCTAACAACATAAATGATACCATTTTCCATTTCGTGGACCAAAATTCTAACAAATGATTATTCTTTGGTAATTCTTGAACAGTGGCATCAGATAAATTCCTCTAACGTTTAAAAACATAAAAGATAAAAAAAAGGTTAAATAGAAACTTTTGAAAAAGTGGATTTCCCAAAATCTGCCATTAAAGTAAACGAGGAAAAAATAAACCCAAATGTGCACACACACATATGTCTCGGTGATAAACACCCATGGATCCTAGTTTACATCCCAAATTGTTCTGTTGAAACTGTTTAAGTTATTTTCAGATGTAAAGAAAAATCTGTTATTCTGTAACTAAATATAGAGATTTCATGACCTTAATATGTGAATAGAAATCAAATGCTTTATCTTTTTTTATGATTTATGTTTATAAAGTATTTGTAAAAAAAAGTAATATTTATGTTGATGTTTATTTTATTTCTTCTTCTAAGATGATAATGACAGCTTATATTGGCATGTAGTGAATGTTAACCTCTGAAACACAACAGGTCAAAAAGAAAAAGGTTGTTGAATATTAAGTTGTTTTTGTAAGACATTTTTCAGGTTGTGGCTTTTAAATGATTAAATGTATTAAGCAATTGATTTGTGGTTGTTTTAAAAAGGTTTCTGGGCTTTTGTTTCATATACTGTTTGTGGAAATTAAATGCTCAAGAATGCCATACACTAATATAAAACTTGTACTTGCTTTGAAATGGCATTTCTATGCTTTATACAAAGTTATTTATCATCATCATAAACAGCAAAGTAAGCCCTCCATTACCACTACTAAAAGTTATTTTATCAGTGCTTGACAAGATGTGTTTATTACCTGTGTTTGCAAAGTAGTGTATTGTTGTCATTCACAATCATGTATAATGTTCACTGTCTTTATCTGCAGTGGTTACTTAAGCCTTTCTCATCTTGTGGACTTCATTGAGTATAGGTTATAAAGTTAACACTTGGAAAATTTATTAACAATATGGCTTTTATTGTAGTGTAAAAAATCATGATACAATAAAATAAGTTTGAGTTAGCTTTTTGAGCTTTTTCAAATAATGGATATTATCAAACAAGACCAATATTGTTAGAATAACCAGGAGAATGATAATTCACCTTTAAGAAGACAACTCAATATTACTGTTAAAACACCATCTTTTGGCAAACCAGTGTTTTCTTTGTAATTAAGTACATAGTTACACAATGAGTTATCTGTGCTCTGTCCACCACAGGTATTAAAACTTGGTTTCCAGCACTGTAAGTCCTCAGACATATCTATGTGCCACTTGGGGGGCTGGAAAACCAGAATGTGGTGTTCATCTGATAAGTTCATTGTTGCTGTAAGAGCCTCGAGTTTTTTTGTTTTTAGCAGTTAACTGTGAATGATTAGCGATATATTTTCTTTTGCACACTGGCTTTGCCAGTACCATAAACCTATTGCATTATAAAGTATAGTTAAATATAAAATAACATATTAAGATTAGTGTAATTTAGACATACAATTTTTCTGTTTGGGGTGGGTGGGGAATACACCAAATTATCCAAGTAAAATCTTAACATTTTTAAACTTTAAAAATGATGTACTATTTCATTTCAGAGTATTCAAAATTGTATAGGTGTTGTATTTCACTGCTAATCCGTGATTTTAATAGGGAGTGGTTGTTTTTATTGCATGGACTGTTATTAATTTTTCCCACATTCTGTGGTACAGATCTTCATTCTTCTTGCAAAACAGCTACAAGTGCAGTAAAATCTTAAGTCAGTCCCTTTTGCCCCTCAGATCCAAACATAGTGTGATATCTTATACAAAAAGAACTGTAGTTTGTCTCTTTGGAATTCCTCCTGGGAAATCGGTGTAAAATGTCACTATACAATAAGGCATTCATGGCTTAACTATTTTCAAAAGACTACCATGTTCAAGTCAGTTACACAGATCACATCATAATACTACCCCATCACCCTTCACAACTGATATTACATAGTCATATCCAAAGCTTTCTCCAGGTTGTCCATCTACTTGAAACTACTATTGTCTTTTGAAAGTCAATAAAAGATTGGAAAATTACTAGGTGTGAAAGGTAAATTCTATAGTATATGTGAGAGTTTTCCTTATGTTCATTGTAATGAAAGTCATTTAATAATATTACTCATTTACCCACCACAGTTTTAAAGTCAAAAGAATAATTTGAAAAATTATTCATAAGTACAGCATGGCATGTAAAAACACATCAAATTTATACTTGCCAATAAACAACAATCTAGAGAAAGACTTTGAAATTCATCCAAAAATATAACAACAGCAACTTTAAAAGTAGGCAAGTTCCGATTTTGATTATTACAACGTTTAGACCCGTAGAATCGGGTTATCATCAGGTAAGAGTTGCATTTAAAAAGACAGTTGAGTTGAGGAGTTCTGCCATTGATGCATTGTAACCACTTTCTGGGCTCAAGGGTTATGCAGCCTTCTTTTTTTAATTAAGTGCTTTTAGATGTTTGTCCATTTGTTTTTCATATACTGTTGAGGTTTTCGTCCATTTTTAAGTATTTGTTGGGATCATTTAGTCCATTCATCAGTGAAATGTACTCTGTTTTGTTCTTTAATTAAAACGATGTTTTGGTCTTTGTCTGTTTTGTTTTATGATTAGGTTGGGGTTATTACCTAGCTTTTCTAATTCAACGTTTTCTTTTTCTTTGGATAAGTTTTGTTTTATTTTAGGTTGAGTACTTAAGATTCCTTTTAATTTGGATTTTGAATTAAATTTAAATTATTCAAGAAATTCTTTGATGGAAAATATTTTTAATATATTGTAACATTTGGAACCTTGAAAGAAGAGCTGACGTCTGAATTTATTTGCTTATACGATTTGGTCCGGAGAAACTTTAGCGATACAAGTCCTTTCTTAAATAAATCTGGTTTATTCTTTCTGAATACAACTTTGCAATACACTTAATTTCCACAGTCACGCTATAATTCACAACGAACGACTCACGTGCTCGACTCAACTGTCAGTCTCTATCTCTGTCTGCAGTTCAATTACATTACATTGTTGCCGTCACTTCTTGGCGGCTTATATATACAAGAATACCGCATATCTAGTAACCTCTCGAGG